TTTATGCTTTAAACATACTTTAAGCATATTTTTTAAAAATATGCTCCCAAAAAGATCTACCCTAGAAAACTACGTCTTCCCTCTTCGATCCAAGAGATCCTTGATCCAACGGGTGGTGGACTCCATTGAGATCTCCTGGGCTAGAGACCCCCAATGTATGGATGGATGGGACAGTATAACCAGACAGTAAGCAGGATCGTATGAAGATGTGATCTGAGGTCATGGACACTGTAGCAAGAGGTCAGGCCCGAAGAATCAGATAACTGAGTGTACTTTGAAATGGATAGCCAAAGAGAGAATCCAAACTTAAAATGCAAAAGAATAAACTATAACATAACAGCCTACTTGCAAATAGTAGCCAAAAGTCACCCTAACCGATCATAGGGCATATCTACCACTCAAAAGCATGACTTAGTGCATGACCGTTGAAATGCCAGAAAAGACAGATAAAGGAAAGTTAAGCCATAGGGGCAACCTCTGCAGTTGGAATGAGGAAGCCATATGCAGTCAACAGTGAGGCCAGTTGAGAATATTTGAGTTAGCATATGTCTAGAGATTCCTATAGGAGATGCAACCCAGCAAGCCTAGGTCAGCAACCCAAGGTTAGAGTACACAATGGGTTAGTATTAAAAAGTGGTTAAACAGATGATCAGTCCTCAAGAGGGATAGTATTTAAATCAGATACCTCTCCTCCCCCATGCTAACTAACATACTATAATTCATTATAGCTGTGTCTAAGATAACTGTTTATAATTATAAATCAGCCCTACTAGTTCTTCTTGTTATTGTAATTTCTAATCAAAGAGCCTCTAGAGCAGTTGTCCCCAGACTTTTTACACAGGGGGCCAGTTCACTGTCCCTCAGACCGTTGGAGGGCCGCCACATACTGTGCTCCTCTCACTGACCACCAATGAAAGAGGTGCCCCTTCCTGAAGTGCAGCGGGGTGGGGGGGGGCAGATAAATGGCCTCAGGGGGCCGCATGCGGCCCGCAGGCCGTAGTTTGGGGACGCCTGCTCTACAGTTAATGAATGAGAGGACCATCTGATTACAATTTCGGTTTCAATTCCCTGTTATGCAACTGGTACCCAAATAAGGACTGTTTGTCCAAATATGAGTAGGCTAAGTCAGTCAAAAACAAGCAGAAAGTTTGTTTTTGTTGCTGTTATCCAAGATGTTAGCAGATGCAGTGTTTAATGAAAAGTGTTTCTTTCAGGCAAACTTCTTTTTACCATGATTCGTTTAACTTATACCAGTGGTCTGCATATTTTTTCCTGTACAGGACCATATAATCATTAATAGTATTTTTAGCCTTTTAGCCACATATGATCTCTATAAATTTGTCATTGCCTTTTTGTTTTTTTTAAACAAATGTTTAAAAATGTAAATGTTCTCTGTGTCCTTCACCATGCTTCCATGCTTTGTGATGTGGCTAAAATTTAGAGACTTGTTTTAAACAATGTTCTGACATGTTGATCTATTGCCTCTGGCAAAAGATGTGTAATCATGACTTTGATGAGCTTATTTTAAAAGCAGATGCACAGTTGATCTCTTATTCCAGGCATTTTGGTACATTCATGGGAGATAGTCTCTATCAACATGACAATTGTAAAACCTACTACACCCTGAAAGTTTGCTGTCTAGAAATTAAGTGCTTCGTTTTCATTCAAATTAATATTTAGATGAGACATGTTTTATTTCTTTTTCTTTTTTTTTTTTTTTTGAGACGGAGTTTCACTCTTGTTACCCAGGCTGGAGTGCAATGGCGCGATCTCGGCTCACCGCAACCTCCGCCTCTTGGGTTCAGGCAATTCTCCTGCCTCAGCCTCCTGAGTAGCTGGGATTACAAGCACGTGCCACCATGCCCAGCTAATTTTTTGTATTTTTAGTAGAGACGGGGTTTCACCATGTTGACCAGGATGGTCTCGATCTCTCTACCTCGTGATCCACCCGCCTCGGCCTACCAAAGTGCTGGGATTACAAGCTTGAGCCACCGTGCCCGGCCGACATGTTTTATTTCTAAATAGACTGATAGTGATGACCTTTTTAAAAGACTCAATGTAGCTTGTTTCTCATTTAACCCATTAACTGCCCCCTTTTTGTGGTATTGTTGCTGCTTTCTCTTATAAATTGATGCTAAAGCTATATTCTTGATGTCTCAAAGTCTCAATTTATGATTACATTAGTTCCTTGCTCTAGTTTGTGGTTGAGCTGTGGCTCTGCACTGTTTGGGCCTGTACAGCCATCCTTCACTAGACCCCAGCAGGTGGCCTTTAGTAGGCTCAAACGTGGCCTTTAAGGCATTCTTAGTATCATTGTGAAAAAGCATCCAGTTTTTCCCCCTAAAAGGCCAAATGGTTGTATGACATGCTGTGGATTTTAGGGATATACTTTGCCTATTTCACATACTTTTTATAAGAAGGTAGATAAGCTTACACATTTAAAGTTTTGAACTGTATTTCTTCTGTTTATAATTTTATTTTATTTATTTTGAGATGGTGCCTCGCTCTATCACTCAGTTTGGAGTGCAGAGCAGTAGTGTGATCACGGCTGACTGTGGCCTCAAACTCCCAGGTTTAAGCCATCCTCCCACCTCAGCCTTCTAAAGTAGCTGCGACTACAGATGTATGCCACCATGCCCAATTAATTTTTTCTGTTGAGACAGGATTTCACCATGGCTGCCTAGCTGGTCTCAAATTCCTGGGCTTAAGTGATCTGCCTGCCTTAGCCTCCCAAAGTGTTGAAATTACAGGCATGAGCCACTGCACCCGGACTTTTTATAATTTTAATAATAATCTGTCAAATAATCTTTCATTACTTTTGCTTTCTAAGTTCTTGTTATATTTTGCTAAACAATGCTTAATCTATCTGATAAACCATTTTAGTAGAAGGGTGTCTGATAAGCACCATCCCTCCCACCCTGCTTTTCTTTCTCTTTTCTCAAAATTACAAGGTCTCTCTCTGTTGCTCAGGCTGGAGTGCAGTCCTGTGATTATAGCTGACTGCAGCCTCAGCCTCCTGGCCTCAAGAAATCCTCCTACCTCAACCTCTCTAGTAGCTGGGATCACAAGCATGCACCATGATGCCCAGCTAATTTTTATTTTTTAAGTAATGACAAAGTCTCATTATGTTGCCCAGGCTGGTCTCAAACTCCTAGTGTCATTTAATTTCTGTTTTGGCATTGGCTCTGAAACAACTGTTGAGACAGTACTTGGAACTCTTGATATTTTCCAAAATCTGTTTTACCAAGATAAATTTTAAGGAGAACAACAGAAAATAAAGTTCAAGTGTGGAGTCTTTTTGTTTGTTTGTCTTTTGGGTTTTTTTTTTTTTTTTTTTAGACAGAGTTTTGCTCTTGTCGCCCAGGCTGGAGTGCAATGGTGCGATCTTGGCTCACTGCAATCTCTGCCTCCTGGGTTCAGGCGATTCTCCTGTCTCAGCCTCCCGAGTAGCTGGGTTTACAGGGGCCCACCACCACACCCAGCTAATTTTTGTATTTTTAGTAGAGATGAGGTTTCACCATCGTAACCAGGCTGGTCTCAAATTCCTGACCTCAGGTGATCCATCCGCCTTGGCCTCCCAAAGCCCTGGGATAACAGGCATGAGCCACTGTGCCCGGCCCAAATGTGTTTTTTAGTCAATATTATTTAATAATGAATTGAATTAAGAGAGGTTTTTTTATGCAATAGAAAATTGATTGGGTTTTTTAAAAATAGCTTCTCTTGTTTTAAATAATTAAGGCTTAAAAAAATCTCTAAGAGTTCTCTTTCAGATATTTGGATTCTATACAAATGAGACTCTTCGTTCCTTAACCAAATGATAATTCTTTAAATTGCATTCTTTGATTCAATTATAGTGAATTTCCTGGTAGAAATTTTATTTTCTCTGAAGCAGAATCAGTTGTCTTCACATCACCATGTCAACCAGAAGAGAAGGAAATCTAATATGCATAGTAAAGAGAGAACACCAACACATGACGCCTTTAAAAGTCTCTGAAATTCAATGTATGACTTTTTATACCAGAAAGTGAACAAAAATTTAATCTTTTCCTCTTCATTTATGTCTCATGATGTGTTTGTGTGATTTTAAAAAACATTTTGGGGTTGTGAGTTCTATATAAATGTGACCAGTCATCTGTATAATCCTGCCATCCTTTCTTTGGAAAACATAGTCACTGTTAGGGTATGTCACGGATGTTGACGTGGAGTCTGAGTAAGCTAGTGGGCGAGAGGGTGTGTGGACGTGGGCGCCTGCGTCTATTTGTTCATTTCTAATGGAGCCATTCTTCTAGAGTCTTTGGGTCAGCTGTCAGGATGGGCTTTCCTCCTTTGTACTTTTGAGTTGCTCTATGACTAGCAACAGACCCGAAACTAAAAAGGAAGGCTTTTAACGGATTAGTTCGGTCCTTTCCTTGCCTACATTGTAGCAGCTGTGTTCTGCCCTTTCTGTGGCCCTGCAAGGAAGGGAGGCCTGTACATAGCAGTCTTCTGTCAACATCCATTATAAGATTCCTGCGCCGGGCGCGGTGGCTCAAGCCTGTAATCCCAGCACTTTGGGAGGCCGAGGCGGGTGGATCACGAGGTCAGGAGATCGAGACCTGGTCAACATGGTGAAACCCCGTCTCTACTAAAGGTGCAAAAAATTAGCTGGGCATGGTGGCGCGTGCCTGTAATCCCAGCTACTCCGGAGGCTGAGGCAGGAGAATTGCCTGAACCCAGGAGGCGGAGGTTGCGGTGAGCCGAGATCGCGCCATTGCACTCCAGCCTGGGTAACAAGAGCGAAACTCCATCTCAAAAAAAAAAAAAAAAAAAAAAATTCCTAAAGCCCATGGAATGAGATATTTCCTAGGAAAACTCTTTGTCAATGCCAGCCCACATGGGAAAAGTATTTCTATGTTTAGTCTTGTAACTCTTTTACGGGGTCAGGAGAAATTTAACTTACAAGACAGTGCTGTGCTATGCCGCTATACTTACCTGCCCTTTCTTTCTGAACTCCTTTGCAGGCAGCAGTACCTGTCCAAATATCGCTTTAGTTCCACCTTGTTTCACAAGCAGCACAACCACACTGGTTGATGAGAATGTATCTAACGAAGACGCTCAGGGAATAAATGGGAACAGGCCAGCGAAACACTCAGCTGCAAGTCCAAAGCCACAAGGTATGCTCATTGGGGATTTGTGATCAGGGTGGGTACTTTGTACATCAAACAAGGCTGACCAGCAAGATGATGGCCACGAAGAAAGCATTTTAAGCTAGAAGTTAAGGAACTGGATACATTATTTTTTAGAGAAGAGGCTATCTCTACGCATTTTCTCAGGTAGAGGTTGCTATTTGCTCTGCTCCTGAAACAACATACATTTCTCTATTATGGATCTTTTCATGTTGCTGAAATTATTTGCATGTCATCTTAATGGAACTGTGATCTCTTTATTATGCTTGACCTAGCAGAGGGACTTACTGTCTGTGTAATAAATGTGTTTGGAGCACTGTTAGACAGAAACGATTTTCTAGATGTCAGTTATTTGTGAAACAGATAATTCTAAAACAGCACTTCATGTACTTATCAAGAACGTGATTTGGTAATATTAAGGAAGTGAGACTTGAAAATACCTCATAGTAAGGTCATCCACAGAAAGGAACAGTAACAGCCCTCTATTCAGGATTGAGTGACCAGTGAGGGGAAAGAAAAGGCCATAATGGTAGAAAGCTTGAATGATTTTTTTCAGTGACCATTTCCTTTTACAAAGAAATTTCCAGTGACCTGAGTATTAACTTTGAGAAGCACAAAATTATAGTTTTGATGATAAAGAGTGAGGCCTTTTGAAGTGGAACACAAAAGCTAAGCTACACTATGGTTTAATGTGTAGTTTCTTCCTTATAGATTTTCATTGATAATGAATGCTAAACAGATAGGAGAAACAATACTGGGCATTGTCAGAATTACTACACGAGAAAAATCAATATCTGTTTTTGTTTATTTCGTGTTTACTTAGGTCTCCTGTTCTTGCAAAGAAAAATTTATTCTAAAAAAAATGTATTCTAGAGCATGCATTATAAAATACGTGGTGTTATTCCTTAAAGTTGTATGTTTTAAGGATTTCTGAAAGCAAATTTTAGAATGAGTTTGAAATGAATCTTCTGGATTATGGGATATTTGTCTGCTTGTTCTCACAACTATATTTGTGGTGGTATGGAATATCGCTATCAAGCAAGATCAATTAATTGACGATTCAGATGAGTAGCCTATTCACTAGCTTATAACCATTTCTTTTGACTACACTGCTCCCTTATAGTGTTGACATGAATATAAACATAGGAAATTTTTTTTGGCCATGATTTGAGCCTTTTTGTTTCCAAAATGTAAAATTCCATTTTTCCTATTAGACCCAAGTTGACAAAGCTCCAGTGTGAGGTAAGAATATTAATAATGAATACAATTTTAGTTTATGAATTTTCCTGATCAAAGGAAGAATTTCATTATTTAAAAAGCCTTTATTTTTGGAAGATGCACTACATTACCTCATTGTTTTCCAGAGTCATTGTATTGAGAGAAATAGTGTGTCCTTCCTAAGCTTCGTGTGCCAAAATAATCCCATTTTTAAGTAGACAACACTTAACCTTGCTTTTTTGTAGTTGTATTAAAGCCACCGTATTATTATTTAAATACATACTTACTTCCTGTCTTAAATATGGGCTAATTATGTTTATGTACTTTTTTAACTAAAGGGAATATTTGCAGGTATTAAATAAATCACAGAGTACTTTATACTTCTTTTTTAAAATACTTGCAAGTAGTGTTTGGCCCTTCCCTGATACCCATGGCTAACATTTTAACCCTACCTTTCATCCTGCCATTTTGTATTTCCCTATGTTATAGTCTGTTCAGGTTGTTGAACAAAATACCATGAACTGTGTAGCTTATAAACAACAGAAATTTATTTCTTACAGTTCTGTGGTCTGAAAGTCCAAGATCAGATTCAGGGTCTGATAAGGCCTGCTTTCTGGTCTATAGATAGGTCCAAGATCAGATTCAGGGTATGATGAGGGCCTGCTTTCTCATAGATGGCCATCTTTTCATTATAACCTCACAGGGTGGAAAGGGTGAGGGGTCTCTCTGGGACCTTTTTTCCATGGCACTAATTTGATTAATGAGAGCTCAGTCCTCATGACCTAAACACCACCTCCCAAAGGCCCTACCTCTTCATACTGTCACCTTGGGAATGAGGATGTCAACACGAATTTTGGGATGCAAACAAACATTCAGATCATGGCACTCCATAAGAACTTTATTTTTTCTCATTCATTACAACTTGACCTGCTGTATTCAATAACACTGCTATATGGCTACATTTCTTCCCCTTTGTTTCTGCTATTCTTTAAAACTTTGAACATGTGCCGTGCAGGGACCAATATCCCTAAAATGAGGCTGCATTTTAGTATTGTCAGATGAGCTGCCACATAGATTGGTCCAATAAGTCAATCAGTAATACCCAAGAATGAGTGTTCCCTATTCTTTAGCGGAGAGAAGCTAATTTTAATTTCTCCTAACATTTGGGTGACTGAGGCAGAGAAGAAAAGTGCGTGCTAATAGGGACCTACTGCATGGAGCAAAGAATGATCACACTGACACCTTTGTTCTTCCTTACTGCAAATCCCTAATAAGTTGTGAATGATGAGGTTGCTGGGGCTTCAGGGTCACTATGTGTGGAGTCCCGATAAGGGAAGGGAAGTCAGGCTGGCATGGCAGGAGCAGGGGAAAGCAGAAAGAAAAAGTATATAAACTGTTAAGTCCACCTTTCTTCCTGGTCCAGGGCCCACAGCAGATAACTGACAATCTTCCTGCACTGACTTAGCACCAGACACTGTGACTAACAGAAAAATGCAAGTTAGCTCACTGCAACCTTGGCATTATCAGTACTGCAAGTAGCCCTCTCCAGCACAAGCACCATCCTGTAAAATCCCCAGGAAGCCTTTGTCTGTTTGTAGTCAGCTCCTCTCTTGCTTGCTTTCTTGCAATGTATTTTCATACTTTGTCTAATACGCCTTTTTGTGCCTACAACTGTCTTGATAAATTCCTTTACTGCCCACGCCACCAACCCTGGCTATTGCTACCCACAACACTGTGTTGTTTTAGTTTAATTTAGGACTCTTACTCTAGATGAGTAGTTTTCAAGCATGCACTTTTGCCCACATGTGCATATCCTCCCCCGACAATAGGACATTGGTGGTATCTGGGGACATTTCTGCTTGACACTGCTTGTGGGAGTTGTTGCTTCTTGCAGCTAGTGAGTGGCACATAGGGATGTTGCTCTACATTCTGCAATGCACAGGACAGTCCACAATGAAGAATTCATACAAACTGTAGTATCAATTGCTGCATTTGCAAAACTCTGACCTAGATTAAAATAAGCACATATCTTTTTTCTCCTTTTGTAGATTGCTAAGATTATAGTTACAATTTGTTGTGTGTGTGTGTGTGTGTGTGTGTGTGTTTCTGAGATGGGGTTTTATTCTGTCACCCAGGCTGCAATGCAGTGGTGCAAACTCGGCTCACTGCAGCCTCCGCCTCCCAAATTTAAGTGATTCTCTTGCCTCAGCCTCCACAGTAGCAGGACTACAGGCATGCACCACTGCGTCCAGCTAATTTTTTTTTTGTTTTGTTTTGTTTTTGTTTTTTTTTTGGTAGAGACGGGGTTTTATCATGTTGGCCAGACTGGTCTCGAACTCCTGATGTCAGGTGATCCACCTGCTTGGGCCTCCCAAAGTGGTGGGATTACACGCACGAGCCACCACCCCCAGTCTATTGTGGTAATTTTAAAAGGGGAAAGTATTGCACATCTATATTAGTGATGATTATGTAGTAATGTCTCTGAAACAATGTATGGTTTATGTTTTGTGTTTATTAATCACCAGTAAGTAAATACTTTTGAAGAATTATTTATAGGTTTTTAAAAGGTGAATCAGCTAAGTTTTATTTTATTTTAAACCTGAAAAAAAAAAAATGACCAGAATACCAGCCCTTTGCATAGCGTTTCAAAATCAGCAGAAAGAAAGATAAATTTTAGATTAGAGGTTGGATAAACTTGGATTTGGATATAAATTGGAACATGTAGATTTCAAAATGGATTTGTTTCTTAATTAGATCTTGTTTTGCCTCAGCCTCAGAAAATACCCTAAGGCCTTGGAAAACAATGGGTTATTCATTTCATACCAATCCTAATAGTCAAACAAATTACTGAGCAACCTCCAGCATAAGTCTTTCTTCTTGTTCACCACTTTTAATACTGGCCTGTTTCCTGCCATGCTTGTCAGTAACTCAAAATAGCTCCTTTAGTAATTAAAGCTAATAGTTTTCTCTTAACAGCTTTTATCCAGAACATTCTCCATAGTTTCTGATTATTTTGATAACATGCAAATTATCACATAATGTCTCAATCATTAAATGCTTTAAAGAGCCACATTGTTGTTTGAATAACTTACATAAATATAGAGTACTTAAACCTATTCATTTGCTTCTAAAGTAAAAGTCTATGTGTAATAATCCATTCTTTTCAAAGTGTAATGTTATCATGCATTTATACATAGTCAGCTTTTGTTGTTTTTTGTTTTTAAAGAGAGGAGTAATTGAAGTCTGTTGACTTAAACTGGCAATTAGTTTCTCTTTTCATTCTAGATAATCACTTTGAATAATTAATTTTTTTCCTATTTATATCTGTAAATGTGGGTGTAATAAAGCCGTCTTACTTGTTGTTCAATAGAGATCTCAAACTTAGCATGTATAAAAGTGAACTGCTATTCTCCTTTCCAAAAATTGCTCTGTCTGCTGTGTCTTTTGACCACGGATCCATCCTTCTGGTAGATGAGACCCAAGGCTTCAGAGTCATCCTTGCCTCCCCTCTCTTTCTGTCATATGTTTCATTTAATCTCGTCAGGAAATCTACTTTAAAAATATACCTAGAATCCAAGTATTTCTAACTACCTTTGCCTAAGCACCGTGATCTCTTGCCAGAATTTCTACAATATCTGCTTAATTGTCCACCCTGTTTCTCCCCTGTTCTCCTCTATATTCTCAACACAGCTGCCAGAGTGGTCCTGCTGCAAGTTAAGTTATATCATGTCGCATTTCAGGTCAGAACCCTGTGGGGACTTCTCATTTCA